AGGAATGCTCAGGCTGATGTAGGCTTTGAATTTGAAAACTCGGCTACTAAAGAGAGAGGCGTCTGAAGGTCCTTTCTTGGAAAGTTCACAAGAAATGACTGCAGCTGGGATATGCTCTTGAGCCGTAAGCGTAACCACTTTCCCCTCTCTCCTCCCCGCCTTTTATTTAAAATGCAAGCAAACAAAAACAAACAAACAAACAAAAACCCTCTTGCCTTCAGTTTTCTTTCAGTTCAGGTGGTCTTCCTTACTTCTATTTCCATTTCTAATTGCTTACATGGCCTTTTTTTTTTTTTTTGAAATAGCACTCAGTATCTGTTACTGCCAGGCTGGATTTTTTAAAAAAAAAAATCTTTTTGCCGCTTTCTTTTATTTTCTGGGATATTTCCCTTCCTGCCCATCTAAATCCATATTCTTTTTTTTCTTCATTGATTTAATTGCCTGTCTCTCTTCCCTGTTCTATCCTCTTTAGTTTTACTCTGTATTTTAGTTGCTCACCTTCCCTCCTTTCCCAGCCTTATGAAGGGCTGTCATGGTATCAGGTTGGGACTGCGAGGAGAATTGCCAAAATTTCCACAGAAGGAAATACTGCTTCTACAATAAAGGCAGCGTCTGCTTCCTTCCCTCACCGACTGCTGCCAAAATGTTTCAGATTCACAAGATAGCTCCTCAATGAGACTGGAAGAAGGAGAGACTCCCCTCCATTTTTAGTGCAGTCACACAGGTTATCCACTTCTGAGGCCAGTCCGCCAATTCCTAAAATACAAAGTTTTCGTAGCAAAATAATATTATTGTTATAAAGAACAATGTGATAGTGGTATGTTAGGTACTTTTACCACAGCGCTAAATCACCAAAAATCAGATGGATGTTAATGTACTGTTTTTCAGAAATAAAAATAACTGATTACCGATGAGCTAATGTGTGTATCTTGCAACTGGCAGCCATTTCTAATCCCATATTACTGGTTTCCTTGGTACCTTGCTAGCAGCTGTAGATAATTTTTTTTGTAAACATAAACTATCATCTAAATCAGGACATTTTATATATATATTTAATTAGTTCAGAAGCAAAGTGCTTTAAACCTTACGATTTTTACTTCTGCCCTGTAGAAACGGCACTAGGTCTAAATGCTCAAATTGTTGCTTTTTGATACATCCTGCAGCATTAGTTTTGTAGGCAACTCGTCATTTAAACCTACTGTACTACACGAAAGGCTGCTGTACTGTAGGTGTAAATGTGAATGTTAGCCATCACTTAAACATGCATTTTCATGCAACTAGGAGATATGGGCTCATTCAACTGCTTCTCAGATTCATCCTGATTTTTGTGATTTTATCTCATTAAAAAGGCTTTCAAAACAGTTCATGCTATGATATGTATGACTAGAGGAATGACCCAGCCAATGAAGAAAGCCCACAAGCTGTTATTTAAGTTTGACGTGGAGCAGATTGAGTGCTTCTGTACTGTCCCCTGGCTTGCAAATGCTTTGAGATGATCTTGATATTCCAGTCCTTAGAGAGTCAGCAGAGAGAGCTGTTTCCACTAACGGGCGCGAGATGGCTTCAGTAGTCTCTGTTCCTGCCTCTGTCTCCAACTCTTCGTCAGTTATAAATAATTTTGACTCTCTCCATTTGGAGTATACGTCTTGGCTACCTCTGGAACCACTGGGATCGCTGCCAGCAATCTGTACATTCAGTTCTTCTGTTGATTGTATAAGGTTTTGTACAGATAAAGATTTTCCTAAATCCATCTGCACTACAGGTTTAACTGAGAGCAAATGTTCCCCTTCTGTATCCAGACTTTTTCTCCACGTGAGATCCTTTGTCGCACTGGGGTGTGCAAGTTGTCCATTATCCTTTGATGCAACAAGGCAAGCGGTGACATTGGAAATATTTTCCTGTGTGGTTACAGGAATAATATGAACGGGCTCAGGCCTACTGATATGCTTCATTGATGAGAAAGGTGGTATTTGTAATGTTGTTGGAGTTGCTGGCTTAGTTGCCTGGTTTATTTGGTTTGATGTATTATTAACTGTTGCAGGTCCATCGTTTGGCACTTGCGTTGCTTGACCATGCATAGCTGGACTAAAAGCATAGTAAGCCTGAGTGCTAAATTCATTTGGTGTCAGTATAAGCTGTAGACCACGAGGCAGATTGGCACTAGCTGATCTGGATACACATCCACTAATTTGTGCAGAGTTAGACAAATCTTTGCTGTCTGATGGACTCTGGTAATCAGAAGTCTGCTCACACTCAAAAGCTGGCATTTGAAATGAAGCCAAAGTGAGCGCGGATGCTGATCCTTTTCGCAAAACTTGCTGATAAATATCTAATAGACAGTCCAGTTTTGACTCAATGGATTGTACCTACAGGAGGAGAGGAAAAGGTTACCATTAATCCCAAATACTAATTTAAAATATTTGGAACGCAAGCAAAGGGAAAATGTGACTGCTGAAGAGAAAAATGGGACAAGCTTGGTATATGCTATTGACCCTAGAAAAATAACGTCAAAAGCCATGTAGTTTTTTCATAAGCAAGCTTATGAAAGGGAAAGAAATCTAGTAACCTGCAATTTTTCCTTCCTTACTTTTCTGTACGTGGGAGACAGTTAAGGTAATGCAATTCAGATCAATTTTATTTCAACGTGTGAATGAAGCAGATATTAGGAAAAAAAAATTTACCTGTTCAGCCTTTGAAACTGGCCATAAAATACACAAAAGGCATGAACAATAGCGCAAGATGACACCCTACAATTAACAACACAACAGACAACAGACAATCACCCTACCTGTTTCTCCACCTTGACTACACGCCCTAACATACTGAGGTCATCAGTTGTCTCATTCTCTGCAGGATTCTTTTCTCTACTTCTTTTATCTGCTGTGATTTGTCCTTTCCCAAGAATTTGGTCAACGCTGTAAGAGAAATCAAAAGCTGCTGTGATTCCTGAAAACAGTGGTGATATGGAAGTGTTTGCTACACCTGTACATTAAAGATTAAAATCATAATACTTCAGAAAAGCACTTGAGAAAGAAGAGACGATTAATTTTATTAATTAAGAAAAAAAAGAGTGATTTTTGAGCATTTGAGACAGCTTTGCCTTTGCTTTGGTGTTAACCGGGAGGCCAGAATTTAGCCATCATCCAGAAGAGCCAGGCTGAGAGGTCAAGAGAGGAGGTGGTCTCTCCAGCGGCCTGATGTTAGAGCAGAACAGATGGATGAGTGCGACCCTCAGCTCTCCCATCCTAACAGCAGCAGCAAGTCCTGGGAAAGTTTTCAGTTTGAAGCAGAAGCTCAGGCCTGATGCTGGTAATGATACACATGATGCATGTTGGGTTTTTTTAAAATTTAAATTATTGCTGGGAATCTAGAACATAAGAACTACATAAACACTACATTACCAGTAGTTCCCCATTATCTTTTATGTGAAAAGAGAAAGTCTTGGATGGGAGAAAGGCAGTTCTCAATGTTGACTTCATCCTTTTGGCAACCTCCTGACTAAATTCCTTGTTTATGAACGGGCTTCACAGATAAAGGATTACCTTGTCTGTTGTTCAGACCTCCATTTGCTGTGGACAAGTTAGATACATGGTTTTTTGTTTGTTTTTGCCCACAGTGTAATTTCTGTCTCAGCTGCGTTCACAGAAAGAGAGGCTGGGCTAAAGCATGGATGGCAATTTGTACCCAAATATAGCATGGAAATGTTAAACTTTACAAATATTCATTATGCAGGCAATGACATAACATAAGATGCTTATGCAGAGCAGAAATTATTATTTCCTTACCGTGACTGAAGACTCTTAATCCTGCATAACATGTCTAGATGACCTGCTGAATACTGTTCAATGACATCTTTGACATCATATGGACGAAGCGTTTCTTTAAACTTTCTCTTTGCAACATGAAATTTCATAATTCTGTGGGGGAAAAACACTTCACAGATTAATCTTGAACAGTTGGGAAACAATACAATATATTCCACTGACAAAATTTGAGAGCTAATTTTTAAATGGAAGATATTTTCAATACAACTGGTGCAGGTGAACTTTTCCCTTTACAAAATTGTTTGTATAAGTACATAAGTGTAAGTACAGATGTGTTGTAGCTATTCCTTTGAATTGTTATTTATGAGAGATCAGGTAACACTATTTTAAAGAGTGCAGAGCGTGTTTAATTTATCAGTATACACCTATTTGGCTTTTTTACTCTAGGTGCCTGATGTGAAAGGTATGGAAGTACATGCTTAACTTAAACCTGAGTTTAGTCCCACTGACTTGAGTGAGACATCCTGTAAGCTACATTTGTGCTTAAGTTACTTCTGTCCTTGTTAGAGGGAAGATTGCTCTAACAAATTGATTACAGAAGCATAAATAATAGTATTATTTTTCTAGTGCTCATTTTAAGTTCTTTGCTTTCCATTTTGTAAAAAAAATAAATTTATGCACCCAATTAATTTTTTTTTAAATTAACATTCAGGCTTTTGTATTAGTTTTTAATTTATTTTGCTGACTTAAAATCAAACTTTGCAGCCTAAAGAGAAATTTTCAAGTTTGTTCCATATTGAAATCTATGGGAATTATTGTTTAATTAGCATTGTTGATTTTTTCCTTGAATTTTACTTCAGAATAGTAAGTATCACATGACAGTAAATACCCAAAATTGGTGAACGGCATATGTTTTTTATGTGAGACTTACACAAGTTTCTGTGATGCCTAGGTGAATATGTGATGTCCACTGAGTTGCTCTTCTTAGAATGAAAAGCTTGATACTAAATTGCCAATTTTAAATAATAGAAATGACAAATTTGGAAATAAATGACAGTAAGGCGATTTTCCAGGTCAGCTGGTAAAACCTGCAGTTCTCACTGGTTTACGTGGGAACTGTGGAAGAGAGAACCATGGGAGAGGTGGAAGAGGAGCCAAGAGATCAGGTGTGTTGGTCATTCTGGTCTGTGTTACAGAGCTTGTGAATCCCCATTAGGGCCAAACTGTGGATATTTGCTATCTATTGCAATTAAAAAAGCCTGAGACTGAAGAGGTATCCTATTCCAAATCCCAATATTTCATGCTAATATATTCCCTCCTTATGTATTTAACATCTGTAAGACAATGAATGATAATAAAAAACCCAAAACATGGCTCTTGCTCTGTGATAAAAATAATTAGTGATGTTTTGGTGGAATTTAGGACAGACATTATGATAATAGGTATGTAGAGTCAGATGAATTATATATAGTGATCTTCTACCATTCTGTATTATACACAAATGTTTTTCTAAATAGTATCAGACATTTCCCACAGTGCTCAGGTTGTTGATATTTCCCATTCTGGTAACTTCCAGTTAAAAATGAGATTGCTTGTCACTGGTATAGAGCTTGAAGTGTGATTCTGATTATAAAAGTTAAAAATGGAAAAGGCCTGTTAGTAGTCGTCCATCACCTTGACAGTTCAGGACTGATCTCTATGCAGTTTTAAATACGTCAGATGATGCACTTTCCTCTTTTCCATTGTCAGCCACTTCTACAGACTAATAGCTTTCTGCGTCTTTTGTAATCTGAAGGCCTCTGAAGCTGGGATGCAGATTTTTTTTTTCTTTTAGCTGTCAAATGATGCCAAGATGTTCTGTTCATAATAGTCTGGCAGTGCAGACAATCTCCCAGAATCTGATTCTTTATTCAGGTTACAAAGAATAAATAATGTAGCTGCCACACAAGAAAGTAGCGATTTTTTGTTATTATTTTCTCCGTTTTGGTGGTCACAATTTTTTACTTCACACTCTTGATAAAATAGAAATATGAAACTCTATTAGAAAAGCAGAGCCAGAGGATTAATAGCGTAACTGAAGACAACTGAATTTACCACAACTGGGTGATTTTAAAAGAGAAGAGACAGAAGACTAATTTTTATTAACAGCCATAGAAGTTTCTTAATCAGTGTGCACAGAAGCCTTCATTACTGCTTTGCAGCTTTATAACAGGTTTTTTGGTTATCAAGGCAGTTTGCTCATAATGTTCAGCAGTCAAAAACACGACCAAAAGCCTCCTGGCTATATCAGTGAGGTGTAACTGTACTATTTCTGGTTTAGTTATTAGCTCATGTGTTGCCATCATAATTAACTTCCACAGGGTTTGGAACAGACCCATATTGCTTACTTCTTTTTGCTTCCAATATATACAATTTTACAAAAGCTGTGCAAAACATGAAGGGTTATAAAAGACGGGCATTTTAAAAACCTGAAAGTTAATTAAGAAACAGAAAACTGAATTCTTTCAGTGATGGAGCCTAGCAACTGCTTTGCAGTTAGTAGATTTAGTAGATTCTCCATAGTTATTTACTGTCAATTTAAAAGATTAAATTCTCCTTCTATATCTTGAAATAATTATGTAATTGAACTTGATAGGCTTGAACACCCATCCTGAGAGATTATTACAACTATATAGAGCATATTCAAAAGTAGTAGTTAAATTGGGGAGGGGGAGGGGGGAAGCCTTTGAGCTTCCTTGCTTCTAGAATAAAAAGTTGCCTATACTGGTGCGTTCCTGTGTGATAAAAACGAAGGGTTCAGTTACGCGGGCACAGGTGTATAACCTACCGGTACAAAAAAGGGGAGAATGGGCACAAAGTGATTCATACCCCAAGTATCTGGAAGCAGCAGCCCTTAACACCAACAGGAGGAACAGACAAACTGCAGCTCGGGCTGTCTTTTCTAGTTATACCACAAGAGGGCAAAAAAGACTCGTCGTAAACTGAACTTGAGACGCCACTGGCAATACTGAACTACTCGTACTGGCCAAACAGCAGTAACTGAAAGGAAGAACGAACTCAAAACAGCAAAGCGTGTAGTCCCCGTGATTTTTTAAAACATAATTTATATTTTTAAATCGCCGTAAGCTGCGTAGCGAGGTGGTATTTAAAAAAAATCTGACGTGATAGACGATACACGGTTGTAAACCTACCGATGTCAGAAGTGTGACAATTTTCTGGTGTGAATGAGCCGTAAAAGGTAGCCTATTTCAATGATGCATCCAGGGGAGAGCAGAAAAAAAGTCTTGTGTTGAAGTAGGCCAATATATCAAAGTGCTTTTTCTATCGTTGATGGCTAAACCACAGGTCCCACTAATCTTTACATGGCCTGGTAATTTGTAGAAAGTTACGGGTCAAGTACCAGCTTTTGTCTTACTGACTTCCAGCAGCCAAAAGCAGCATCCATTTCAGTTAACTCTTGTCAAATGCAGGATCAGCACCGAGCTAAAATTACAGTGTTTTCTGAAAGTGCAGGTTGCATCTCTTTCCTGGCATTTGTTGAATTTTAATTTCCGCTCGTGTTGCCCCTTCCAGTATTAAAAGCTATTCTGCTTGTCATTAGTGCACTTTACCAAGACTGGCAGCGAGTCAGAATCTCTCTAATCCTCCGTGCAGCCCTGTTGTACTCACACTATTTTTTTAAACTTATCTTGTCAGTTGTGTCACTATCTGAGGAAGAAATGGAGCTTCATTGTACTGGGATTCAGGTAAAGTCACACATGGTTCCTGTCTTAAAGATGAAAGGACAGGTAGGATGTTTTGCCCATAGCTAGATCAGGTGCCAACAGGTTGTTTGCTCACTTAATGCATCAGGAAAGCATGTGCATACAGATCTAGTCGTGCTGGTTCCTCTGTCTCTCTACCTTCAGCTTGCCAAACAACCTCTCTTCCTGGTAAACTACAACGTGCAGAAGAGATCAGGATCCAATATAGAGAGGCCAACAGACAAAGGTGGCTGAGAGGTAGTTCCTCTACATGTGGGGTGAGTAGGTCAATGTTGCCTTCTCTCTCGGGTCTTGACCTGGACCAACCCATCTCCTAGGAGCCAGAGATACTGTTTTCTCCCAAGCACAGTGCTGTCACAGGCAAAGACACATCTAAGAGCCTTGCCTAGACTCTGAAGACCATGTGGGCAGAAAATATACAATGTGTTGGGGTTTTAAAGAAAAAGAGGATTCTGAAACACCACCATTGAACCGATTCATAATGGCTGCTAAAAATACATTTTACAGGTGTAGCAGAAACATTTCAAAGACTGAATATAAATGGTAAATGATTTTTTCCTCCTTTGGCTATTAAATATGTATGACTATTCAACTATACAACTTATCAGCTCAAGAATTCTCAAGTTTCATTACGTTTAGCTACATTTATCATTATTATTTCTTATTAACAACAAATGAAAATATATCTATGCAATCACTAGAGGTAAAGAGAGAAAAGACCTCTTAGGTCAGCAAGTCCATCTTCCTGCCATTGCAGTTATTTCCTATTGCGTATTTATTTATGCTTCACAAATCTAATTCTGTATTCCATAAATAGTAAAATAATTCCATCATTTCTATTGTGGAGAGTATTACAGAACGTAGTGCCTCTTGCTGTGAAAAATGATCACTGATACCGCAATATATGGAAACAAGGTATCCTCATTTTCTTTTTAGCCTCTTTTATATACATTCATCATTGTGAACTAACAGAGAGCGCTGGAAAATGCAATGTTTTTTGTTAGTCTCCAGGAACTTTGCAGGGTATTCATGGCTTTTTGTTCACGACAAGACTAGGGACGGTTGAGTAGTGCTACAAACCCTGCTGGCACACAGGCTCGGTGCACCGCTGGCAAGAACTGTTTTGTGCCCTGCGCTGATCCCAGCCGGAGGCTGCAGAGGAGCAGGACTGATCCTGGCCTGGCCTGAGGCACGCTGTGGAGCAAGCCACATGTCACCACGCTACCCATCTCATCCCTACTCACCCAACATTGTGCCAGTGCAGCTTTTCCTTACCCTCTCTGCTGCCTCAGTCATCTTTCCTGATGGAGAGTTTGTAGTAAGGGGGGTGGAAGATGCAAGACAAGGACTGGGCTGTGGAAGACTCAGCTTGAGGGGCTTTGAGAGGAGGCTGACAGCTTGACATGTTACAGGACAGGTCTGCCCAGTGGGTCTTCAGTAGGACTGGTTGGGAGTCCTGTTTTTGGAAAGGGCCAATGCGTTAAAAAATTGACGTGTTTTTCAGGAAAGGACTAGTTTCTCCATCTCATGTTTTGGCCATTTAAAAATTAAAGTTTGGGCGGGGTGTTTGTTTAAAATCAAAAAGTTGTTTTGAAGAGTAAGATAGTCCTGGGAAAGATGTAAATAAGCAAGGTCAAAACTGATGCAGTACTCTTTGAAACTGCCAAAATGAAAGTTTATAACTAAACCAGTTTTTGTCTTTTGTTATTTCAAGGCTGTCCAACCTGAGAGTAACCAGCATATTCTAAGCTCCTTTCACAGAAAAAAACCACTAGTTCTTTTTGGTTCCAAAACTGAGAGGCCCTACCTGTGTAAACCCACAGGCATGAATTAATTTTGATAATTTCACTTTTTTCCCCAAAAAAGAGGACCATTTGTACAATTGTAAAATTATTTGTACCCAGCTCTAAGCAGGAAAAAATAATTACTCTCCCTTATTACAGTTTTTCAAGGTGATGTAGCCAGAATAGATTCAACTGTACGTGCCTACATTTGGGGTCTTTTGAACAGTGTCTCATGAAGCTATTTAAGTAGCTTCATCTGCTTTTGTATACCAGCATGAAAGGAAAAAACAGCCTCCACCCTCCCCCGTTGCCTTTGCAATTCAAAGCCGTTGTTAAAAACAAACTTCAAAATGAGGCCCAAAGTTTCCATATAGGCAGATGTTATCATCTTGAAATTCTACGGTTACTATATAGTGTCTCAGATCTTCCTTCAGATATTTGCACAGATCCCAGTGTAGTCAGGTAACAGATACCCTGAATAATCTGAAAGAGGAGTACCAGCTACCCGACGATCTGAATTACCAGTTTCTTGATTTTGAGAGATTAAGGTACAGCATTTAACAGAAGTCTGAAGATCATTGCCTATTACTGCTTTACAGATCTCAAACAAAGGTATGTTTCTGATGCGAGACGTATGTGCTGCTTGCAATCTAGTGAAAAATCAACATTTGCAGGGAGAGATAGGAGAGATTCGTGGCTAATTGATAGCAAGTGGAGATGCAGAATTGTTATTCTCAGCCTCAGTGGTGAAATGAGTTGGTTTTGGTAAGCCAAGTGTGCAGAGAAAAAGTTGGAGGTAATCTAAAAAGTCGACTCTTATCAGTTAAAATGTGCATGTCTGAAACAATCCAACTGTTGCATCTTTACTCTTATTAGAACATTTCTGTGGATGGCACTGTGCAGAACATTTGCCAGCTAGGTCCTTCACATTTGGTTACTTTCCATTTGAGCTGATCATTACCAAGAGAACCAAGAAAAGAAGCAGGTGATGCATTGAGCAATCCAGTGGTGCCTTTGAACAAGCTCCATGAAGTTAGTATTAAATGTCAAGTTGATCTTAAGGAATTTGGACGGTATTAAGAATGAGATGACCATTGGTATCACTTGCCAGTACAGTGGCAAGGTACTGGCAAGGCTCCAAGTGGAGCCAAGAGTCAACCAGTCTGTTTAAAATGCAACATCACAGACAAGGATCTTTGGCACCAGAGCCAACGGACTATGCCGATTGTTCCTAATTTGAGCATTTTCCATTTGAAGGAATAGGTCTGCCTTGTAGGTGGGTGTCCACTGTGTTGAAGGATCACAAGTGTGTCACTGCCGAAACATTGCTTGGCAAGAGATGGTCTCTGTGGTGACATTTGAGTTGCCACTTGCAGTGGCTGTGGACACAGACCTGGTATCTGACACATCCTCTGAGGTCATTTCTAGGCAGGTTGGAAAAATGGTTAGAACAGACGTCTGCAAGTGATCTGTCAGGCTGTCTGTGCTAGTAGAAAAGTACTAGAAACAGCCTTACTCGCTATCTGTCCTCACTGGCAATCAGTGGAAAAAGGGGAACGAAATACAAGTAGCCCATGGGTTTTCACTGTATAAAATTATTTGATAAAGGGTTGAGTTCTTTCTTCCCATAGCGCTGAGAAGACTCAGGTGAGAGTCTCCCTACAGGAAAACGTCATCCTTCCATAGGGTTTTGCAGAAATCCCCCGTGGCCGCTGCCTGCCTGCAAGAAGGGTGCCGGTCACCGGTGTGACTGTGATGCTGAGCCGGTGGGGTGACTCCCAGCAATAACTTCGGCTTTGCTCTCGGCAGAGAGGGAATGGCTGAGCTCTTCTGGCTTGCTGATACACTCTTTGCGGTGGGGATTTTGCCTGTCAGGGTTTGAACCTCAAAATGTTCAGGAAGAAGAAGAGCCTTAACAGTCTCAGGAGGGTGAATGCTAAGCTTAAGTTTTTAATACAGGTAATTTTATAAGTTTAAATGCAGTTTGCTATTTTCTTGGAAAAGGAGGAGACTATTAGTTTTAAATTATTGGGGTTATATTTAGTTCAATGGATAGTGGCAGGCAAGGCTTTGCACAACTGAATGAATGTAATTATTCTGTGGCTACCAGAAGACAGTCGCAATAAAAGTCATGTGACAGACCATTTCAGGAATATGGAAATGGAATAAAACCCGAAACATTTAAAGGAAATAACTTTTCCAGTCAAAGTGATACACATTCAATAAAACTACATCAAACTGGATGTCCTGGTTTCGGCTGGGGTAGAGTTAATTTTCTTCCTAGTAGCTGGTCTAGTGCTGTGTTTTGGATTTAGTATGAGAATCATGTTATTAACCCACTGATGTTTTAGTTGTTGCTGAGTAGTGTTTATACCCTGTCAAGGACTTTTCAGCTCCCCGCGCTCTGCCAGCGAGGAGCTGCACAAGAAGCTGGGAGGGGGCACAGCCAGGACAGCTGAGCTAGGCTGGCCAAAGGGATGTTCCATACCATGTAATGTCATGCTCAGTATAGAAACTGGGGGGAGTTGGCCAAAGGGTGATGACCCTGTCTCGGGAACTGGCTGGGCATCAGTCAGCAGGTGGTGAGCAACTGTATTGCGCATCACTTACTTTATATATTCTTTTATCATTATTATTTTTATTATTTTATCTTCCCTTGCTGTCCTATTAAACTGTCTGTATCTCAACCCACAAGTTTTACCTTTGTTTTTTCCGATTCTTCTTCCCATCCCACCGTGGGAGGGGAGGAGTGAGTGAGCGGCTGCGTGGTGCTTAGTTGCCGGCTGGGGCTAAACCACAACACTGGATTACAGTATTTTGGATTACAGAAAATATAGTGGAAACCAGCATTCATTTCTCTCTTTCTTTTCTGAGTCAAATCATGTAATATTTTTAGTCATTGAAAAACTCATAACAGAACAGATAGAACATTTTAACTTTCAATTAAAATACTGATGAAAAGGAAGCATAAATAAACTATATTGGCATTCGTTATGTAACAAATATAGCCATGTAATAAGTTCAACTAATTACCATTCTATTAATTGACATGCAGTTAATTAGTATCTTAACTAAAGAAATCTCAAATATTTATCCATTCAGTATTTTTTACTCACCTGATTGCTCTGATGACAGTTTTAAGAGCGGGGGTAAGATCTTCTACTGACACATCACACTGGCACCCTTTATCATCATAAACATCATCTGTTCCAAGACTGGTGTCAGCTGCAAAATACAAGAGCAAGGTAAACAAGCAGCATTTAAAGATCTTTTCCTTAGTGTTTTCTAGCTGCCTACACAGTGGTTCTGGAAAAATAAGGACTACAAATCAAACAAGACAGAGCTTCATCAGTTTACGAACTATGTGATGCACTTGCGTGTGTCTATGCTTGTGTCATAAAAGGCCTGGGCAGTCCCCAGTGTAAAAAGTAACAGTTAGAAAGGAAGAAAGCCCTGTTATTTTTCAAACAAATTAATAGTTGAGTACCAATGTCTATTCTTGATGCCTCACTGTTTTTCATGACATTCTCTGTCTTAAGGGAAAGTGGTGAGCTGACAGCTGTAATGGCAGAATCAAAAGATGCTGGTTCTATTGAATTGTTTTTTTTCTTTTACCGCTATGGATCAACCTGACATTGAAGACAAAGGAGAAGATCCATTTCATTTAATAAGGAGGCTGTGGAACGATCCAACACTTTATTACAGGTAAAAATAAAAAAAGTACCTTTTTACCAGAAATTAATAGAGAATGACATCCATCATTGATCAGTTGCCACCTTAAACCGCAGAGCCATGTAGATATTGCATCCTTCCTTTGCAATAGGAGCTTAAGCCAAGTTACTGTATTTATTTGCCTGAAAAAAATAGATCCTCTACCCTTTCCTAACACTGCCTCTGCAGAGTTACCATTTGAGAGTTAGCTAGAAATCTCAGAAGTGCCCAGAGTACCTCAATACACAAAGAAAACAGGGACCAATGCATGACCAGGAAGGTTTGCAAACTTAAAACGGACTAGAATGGGAATGGAGCAAGGAGGGCACGTTCAGTGGATACCACTAGGTCATGAATGTCTCGAAGGCATGTGAAGTGCAGGAAAATTCTTAAGGGTAGGTGTTTTTTCTTCCCAAGCCATCTTCCTTCAACTGTATAATGTCCAAGTGCCCGGGTGAAGAATTTCACCCAAGGTCAGTGTATTTCAACATGTGTTTCTACTTCATGAAGAAGAGAGTGTAAAGTGAAAGAGTGACATGGAATAGAGAAGTTAGTAACCCTCAGTAATGGAGGAGATTTCTTCCCAGTCCTATGTCCCTGCCTACATTCATGTTGTTATTTAAAACATAAGCTTAGTCATCCAGAAACACTGCAAGTAAACCATTTCAGGGGCTTCTGTTGTAAGCAGATTTGAAGCTCAAACGCAAATGATTGCAGGACATTTTTTGCAAGTTCCTTTTTTTTCAGAAAGAATGTAAATTAAAGATGAAAAACATTCTTTGTCAGTCAGAAGTGCCTAGAAATTTCATCGTACCTTTTAAACCTAACAGGAATGCTGTCTTGGCATAAATAGCATTGTACTAGGCTGCATATTCAGGAACTGGCATTGCTGCATTGTTGTCTGCACAGATTTAATTTTTGGCCATAATTAATAATTTATTTTGATGACTCTGGCTAGTTCATGAATGTCAAAAATACCTTTTCTTTTTTGACTATTGCTGAACTGGTACATTCATGAGGAACATCTTGTGTAGCTTTGAAGAGCAGGAAATTTTATCATTGGCAGACCAACTTAATACAGAAAGAAGGGTGGTTTACAACCAAGTTAATAATACGTTTAATTACACATGAAACAATCAAATACAACCTGTAAAAAATTCAGTTTTATATTGTAAAAGTGAAATTTTCATACAAAGCTGTGAAATCACCCCTTCCATGCTATTACTGTAAATTGTGCCTACAATGATGACAAGACTGCTTCTCACGGAGTGAATGAGGCTTATCTTATTGATAAAATATATATGTCTCTCCACCTACCGTGCCTAACTAACATTTTTGTGACATTCTCTGTCTTAAGCGAAAGTGGTGAGCTGGCGGATGTAATGACAGAATCAAAAGATGCTGGTTATATTGAATTGCTATTTTTTTTACCGCTACGGATCAACCTGACATTGAAGACAAAGAAGATCCATTTCATTTAATAAGGAGGCTGCAGAATGATCCAACAGTAATGTGGATTAGCTAAAATAAACCATGTAATTAGTTTGATAGGCATATGGACTACCTAAACCCCCCTCTCTGAAGGTGCTAAGTATTCCACGACACAAACTTTCCAGGTGTCATGTCTGATCAGCCTCTCCAGTTACTCCTCTCAGTGCTGAAATCTCCCAGCTCGTTTCTAACTGCCACGCTAAAACCAGAGCGTTTTGTGCTACTGGTATTTCCAGTGGCTCTCTAAGGTTTGAATCTACTCAGTTATGCCAGTATAAATTAGGAATAATTCTGCTAAGGTCACAAGAGCTACAACCATGTAACCCCAGTGAAACAGGAATCCAACCTGAAAGTTTAAAATAAACATGTTTCTGAATGGTTCTCTCACTGGTACGGTTCCTGGGTCCCTTGCCAAGTACAGTGTCATTAATAAAAGGGCTTCCTTAACGCAGTGTATCTTTGCAGAACCGTTTTGAGAATAGTGTGGTGCGATTATAGTATTCCATATTGCTCACATGTGCATACAAAAAGCAGCAAAATCTTTAGACAGGCGCTGGAAAATTCTTATAAATTTGAGCCAGCTTTAAGAAGAGATACCGCTCCTAATAAATCACCTTCTTTTTTTCTTTTTAATATTCCAACTGACATGAATTTCCTTCATTATGGCAGGCACTCGGTACCACATGTCAATAAAACTTGTGAAAAGCTATAAACCTTGTTTGATTCATATGGGAAACATTCACGTTTCTTTAGTATACTGAGCAGACTTGGGAAAAAGTTTGGGAAATGCATAGTAACAATTTGGAAAAAAAAAAATTCCAGCTTAAAACACCACTGAAATCAAAGTTCACATTCTGATGGATTTTTCCAGAGGAAGCTCGTGTTGTGTACGACATAGTTACGAGGTGAGATGTACTTGTATCGCTTCTGTGCCTCTCGAGTTCATCCTCGAGGTCGGGGCTGCGTTGGGGTCAGTTTGGCCGCTTCGGCAGCTCCAGCTGTTAAAACCCCTGCCAGTTCCCAGGCTCAGCTACGGCCTCCGACAAGCCGCACTCCAAGCTGCTGCTGTTCCCGGAGACAGCCCTGTGTTTTGATCCTAAATGTCAATCTGGAAAGTGTTTATTTCACAGCTGATGAGGCATCCGCCATTGTCTTACAATCTTTGGCATTATTTACTTTGGGCTACAGTCTTGTCTTTGCCACTTTTTAATTTCTTCCTCTTTCTTCCTGAAAAGCAGTCTTTGATTTAATCACACAGCAAATCAGCAATTACCAAGACATAGAAGAGGCACGCACAAGTCGTTAAAATTGTCTTGATATTTCCCTGTTTGTCACAGTATTTATGCATTCTTCGTGCAAACTCCAGTCATTTATGATCACCCGAAAAACTACACTGTTCTGAAACATTATATGTCACCAACAAAAAATTTACGAGTTTGTAGCGGCATTTCATGTGGCTCTGTGCAAAAGGTACACACAAGGCTTGATTTATTATTTCTGTAAATATCATGTGTCCTTTCTTAGAAGTGTTTTCTGTTGTTTAATAACATGCTTTGGCGTCGGGAAAACTGTGACACTGCTCTGATCACCCCCGTAGCTCCATGCTTTCAATGTCAGTAGCATTCAAGTAATTATGTGCCTGTTTAACAAAATCAAAAAGATTTTTGTACTCTTTAATCTGTTTTCTGGGAACCGCCATATGCTAGCAACAACAATCCAGCATTAGTAAGTGCATGTGCCAACACCATGAATAGCCCTATGGAAGTGCTCCTAACATAGTGATTGGTATGGTGATCCCAGCACAGACCCTTTGACTTGTTTTTTGGAAGCCTTCGGAAGCGCTTCGATCTTACTCTGACTGCGTAGGAGGTAGCTAGGGCTCTTCATGTAGGCGATCTAAATCACTCTGCTGAGGCTGAGTACCCACCTTTTACACATGGCAAAACCTAAATAGGTGCCTGAAGCTGATAGTCTGCATATGACTCTCGATTATTCATGTTACAGCACAGCGTTGTGCTAGCTTGGTAAAAAAAGCACTGATTTGGAAAAGAAGTCTGATTGATTTTCATTGTAATGCACGATTCAGGGTGAAAAATGGATGGTGGCCTAATTTCCGCAGGTGCTGAGTTACATCAAGCCATAGTTTATACCTATCATTCAGAATCCAGAGTTCAGCTTGGGGACTGAAGTCCAAGCCGTTCGTGATGGAGCTCCACAGCCAGTTCGGGAGCCTCGTATCTGAGCGCAGAGCTGCTCGGGCTGCCCAGGGCAGCAGTTCAGGGCACCCCAACGAGACACGCTCATCTCCAGACTCATTTTCGGCGTGAGCGGTCACAAAGAAAACGCGTGGAGAATTCAGTGCATCGAACTTCTGGGCAAGTAAAGAGAGACATAAATTCAAAGCTTTGGGAGGACATATTGTCCCTGTGGGAGATGCTGACACATAGGTCTGCTGCAGCAGGGATGCTCAGGCAGCTGCTTTAGCGTTAGACTCCAAACTGCCTTTATTCTTAAATGGCTGCTGAGCTCAGATGACCCCTCTTGTTCCAGAAGCAATGCTGGCAGCTTGATACTCTCCTTGTTCTTTCAGCCTCTTTTGCAAGCAACGTAGAGCCTCTGTTATGCTGCTCCAGGTAGTGCCTAGGATGCCTACAAGGTAGGCGCATTTCACCCAGCTTTACGCTGCCTTTGAAGTACCTTTCTTCACCTTGAGCATTTGCTGCGGGGAGTTAGGGATTTAGCCTATATTCTCTAAAAAATGGAGATATTCTGTACATATTTTATAGTATTTCCACAAACGTTATAATGCACAGAATGTTTCACAAAATCTCGGTTACTTTTTTCCCTCAAAAATTATTCTAAGTACAAACATGTTCATGGTTGATATTCATACAATTCATTCATGCAATTTCCCTTTATCAAAATAACATGTGTCTCAGCCTAGTGCCTTTGTTTAAATTTGTTTCATGAAACTTCTCACCTCTTCACAAGCTCTCATTATTTTCCTGCTTGTTGAACCATGA